CAATGTTCTGTTGTGACCTATAAGGCTTACATTGACTAATTTTTGGAAGTAGATCACCAGACCTTTATTGCTAGTCTCTCTTACTCTGGAAGCTCCACTGAAACCTGTTCATCATGGGTGACCCTGCTGGTATTTGAAATACTAGTGGCATGCCTTCCAGCTTCACAGAACCACACAAGCCACCACAGTACAACAGACTGACAGATGGGTGGTAGCTTTAATATTTAGTTTCCACAAAACCTGGATCTGCCTCTGATTTAGGGGGTCTAGAGTGTGAGTCGGAATCGACTCAACTGCAGTGGGTTTGGTTTTGTTTTTTAGAGCCGTTCTACTCTGCACACATGGGGTTGCCATGGGTTGGAATTGACTTGACAGCAACTAACAACAACAAAGAATGGTTCTTAGTTCTTTAAAATCACTTTGTCCTGTGCTCCCTGTTTGTTCTGTTTAATTGTGGTGAAAATATACATAACAAAACACACGCCATTTTAACAATTCCCACATGTACAATTCAGTAACACTGGTTACGTTCTTCAAGTTGTACAACCATTCTCGCTACCCTTTTCCAAATCATTCCACCACCATTAACATAACCTAAGCAAAGACTCCTCCTCTCCAGTGCTCCCTGTTTTTAATAGACCTTGGGCCACTCTCCACAGCAGAACCAGCAGGTGGCACGTATTCAGCTTGGAATCTTCTGCCCTCACCCACCTTCCCCCAAGTCAGTGAACCCCTCCTTCACCAAGCCTGGTTCTGTTTCTGACCATCTGGCCCCCCTGCTCTCTGCTGCCCCCCAGTGGATCTTGGCTGATAAGACACTGTGTGCATGTTGGGTGTGTCTAGTCCCTTTCTCACGGTTCTTAAACTATTATTCAAAGTTTATTATAGCTGCTTTAAGTGACTGGGGCTTTGCCAGGGCCTCTGAAAACTGAGTGAAACTAGTTACTCACTGGGAACACTCAGTGGGTGGCCACCTTCTCCCCTACATGCCCAGGCAGCTCTCTAAAGGGCAGCCACAGCCATACAGATGCTCCAGGACACACACACCCAGGCATGCACATGCTCAGTCCCCCAGAGACACAGCCACACTCATAAGAAACCCAGAAACACAGGCACGGAGACACAGGAGCAGCCCCGCCATGTCTTAAGGAGAAAAAAAATCAGCCATGTGCTCATCTATGTAAACAAAAGGTTGCATTAGCAACCTGGTGTGTGTTTTTTGTTGTTGTTTGTTTGTTTTTTAAATAAATATGGCCTTGATGTTGTGGATCTGCACCTAGGCAGGGCTGACAGGACCTCTAAACCCTGCCTGCCAGAGACCATGTTGAATAGAAGGCTGCACATGACCGCCACCACCCATCTGTCAGTTTGTTGTACTCTGGTGGCATGTGTGTTGATAGAATGCTGGAAGCTATGCCACTGTTATTTCAAATGCCAGCAGGGTCACCCAAGGTGCACAGGTTTCAGTGGAGTTTCCAGACTAAAACAGACTAGGAAGAAAGGGCTGGTGGTCTACTTTCAAAATTTAGCCAGTGGAAACCTATGGACTGCAACAGAATATTGTCTGATACAGCGCTGGAAGATGAGCCCCCTAGGTTGGAAGGCACTAGACAATATCCATAACAGTGGACTCAAACATACCAACAATCATGAAGATGGTGCAGGATCTGACAGCGTTTCATTCTGTTGTACATAAGATTTCCGTAAGGCAGAGCCAACCCAATGGCAACTAACAAGCATATGGCCATGTTTAACAGGTGGCGACACCACCTCCAGTCCCTCAGTGGCACAAACAGTTAAGCGCTGGACTACTAGCTGAAAGGTTGGCTGTTGGAAGCTACCCAGAGGTGCCTCAGAAGACAGGCCTAGCAATCTGCTTCCAAAAGGTCACAGCCTTGAAAACCCTATGGAGCAGTTCTATTCTACAACACATGGGATCGCCATGAGTCAGAACTGACTTAATGGCAACTAACAGAAACAACAATACAATTTCCAGACTGGTGACCCCAAAGCACAGGTAGGGGGTGGGCAGCCTGTGCAGCGCAGGGCCGCAGGTCCTTCCAGAAGTTCCCCAAAGACTATGTTCACTCTACTGTCCCAAACAAGTGGGAGACTTGTCTGTGGGAGTCTGGGATTCTTCAGGCAGAGCAGAGTAATTTGTAAATGTGTGTTAGAGGAGTCCTCCTTGGCAACCTACTCTTTACCCTCACTCTCATGGAAACTAGACCTGACCTCTCCTAATAAGCTGGCGCCAGGGAGCAGGTGGAGACCTGTCCCGGGCCTGTCTCCCTGGAAGTCTACATTTCGGCAAACATGTTCAGAAACATCTCGGTGTGCTGGCTGCCCAGAGGTCACTGAATCATTTCACCCACCAGTTTTATTATAGGGACACAAGGCCTTTCCTTCAACAGGGTGCAATAGCCAGACAGAGAGTTAGATTGAGTCATGAGCCATCCCAGAAAGGGCATCCCAGGACCTGGCCACTGGGCAAGATGTGGCACTGCTCAAAGACCCTAAAATGCTCCTTTGATGGAGGCCGCCATCAGACAAAACCCACACTGCCTGTGCTCACATTTGGCCATCAGACAGAGCTCTGGGAATACATCGGGGGCTACCTGGAGGAGGTCCCTGCAGGTACCTTGTGGAGGAGGATGTTGGTTTCCCTATTTCACAAGCCCAGCTCAGAGCTACCAGCCGAGACCTTCTGAGCAGCTCTTGCACATCGCTGCTGGGAAACTGGCTTCTCACCTCAGGCCCAGAACCTCGCCTGCCCAGGCATGCCTCAGCTCCCTGCCAAGGCCCAGCTGGCCGCCCAGTTCCAGTTCCCCAGAAAGCCTGACCCTGTGAGTCACTGTCAGTCACACGCCTGTCTGCATGCCCCCTCCCACGACTGCTTGAATTGTGGCTTGATGGGGGCCAGGTCAACAGGAGTCAGGAATCTGGCGCCACGTAGGGCCCTTAGGAGCAAGAAGTGGCAGGCCCAGCTGTTCTTACACAATTTGAACCTGTGCCCAAAGTTATTTATGGGGACAAGGAGCCTGCCCAGTGTGTGCCTGATGGGAGCCATTGATCCAAGGAGGGAACATGAACTCAAGGGTGGACTTGAGGGCTACCTGCCCCTCAGTCTCCCATTGCTCCTGGCAGCTCAGGAGAGCAGTCACTAGCAGGAATAGATATTTAGGAGCCGGTGGAAGTGAGAGGAAATGGCCCTCCCTGTTTCTCAGTACCCTCCCCCACATTCTGATTTGTCCTTCCTGGGAACCTGGGCCCATGGGGGTACTGCCCATATTCAAAGGGGGAATTGAGGCAGAAGCCAGGCTGTCCAGAGTTTCATCGCATGGCCTAGTCACATCACCCACTCATTCAGTCCACAAGGTTTATTGGACACTCACTATGTGCTCAGCCTCAGGGACACAGGAAGGCATGCAGCCCTGCCCTCCAGGAGCTTACAGTCTAGGAAGCTGGGCCCAGAGAGGTGGGAGGACAGTACAGTCTTGCTGGGGATCTTGTTCTCTTAATGTTGTTCTTAACACTGTTTTTCTTAACATTGACTTTTTCAATGCACCTCCAGCTTCCCCTACATCCTGCCACCCAAATCAAGGCCATCATGGGTTGGTGTGGCAGAGTCTGATTCACTGACAACCCCCAAGTGTCAGCTCTGTCTTCTTGCCCCATGAACCCTGGTCATTAGCACAGGCTATTGGGCTGGGGGCTGGGGAGGACAAGTCCCAGCCTCTCCACGAATGCTCAGAGGACCCCCAGGAAATGGCTGCAGGTGCCCCCACCATCTCTTGGGCACCCACTAGTGATCCACACGCCCCTCCCTGAGCTTTCACAGGCTCCCTGGTTTCCAAGGAAAAGAAAGAAAAGTCTCAAGAACAGGCTGCTTCCAGTAACCTGTCCCAGTGAGTAGCAGGGAGTGGTCAACAGGAGAGAACAAGGGAAGGTGTTTCCTTGACCTGCTGCCACCCCCTGACTTCCTGCTGTTCAATGACAGCGGCCTGCTCACCTCTCAGCACCGTCTGGGTGCTGGGCTCAGGCCCGCCAAAGCGGCAAGCTGCCTTGAGACCACAGGGCAGCCTCATTCGTGCCCCACTCCCCCCTCAAACCCAGACCACCTGGCTGGGGTGTAGTGCATAGGTGTTTCATTAATGCCTGGGGGGTGAAATCCCTCCCAAGACCACCTAGCAATGTCCCTCACCCTCAGGGGTGCAGAGCCCTGCTGCCCTCTGCCCAGGGATGAGATTTGAGAGGAGAGCCTCCAGAGTGGAGGTGATGGCTCCCCAGCCTCCCTGGTCCCTGCTTTGGTACCCTGCAGAAAGCTTGGAAGTGGGCAGACCAAAGCCCCTTAGGCCATTGCTGCTGTGTGCCCAGAAGTTCCTAAGCTGAGCTGGCAAGGAGGCAGGGCCCCATAGGGCTGGGAGACATTGACCAGTCAGTCAGAGCAGATGGCTGCACCTGGCCCAGGTGAGCTCCTGGCCCAGGCCTTGGGCTGGTTCCAGTGCTGGGGCAGGCATGTGGCAGCCCCAGGCAGCTGTGGCTGGTCTAGTTCCAGAACCACCTCCACCAGCTGGGATGGGGGATGTCTTCCTCACCTGTAACCACCTGCTCCTTTTCCTCAGGCCCGGAAGCCGTAAGTTGGGGGGTGTAAGGCAGCGCCCCTCCTCTTATTTCTTCCGAGCTGAGCCCACCCCCCCTCCCGCCCCCGCCACTGGCCTGCAGTCTGCCACACAGGTCAAACATACACTTCTGGCTTGGGTGTTGCTACTGGCCTGGTCCCTTGGAGTGGGAACAGTAGCCACCACCTAGAGAGCTTCCTCAGACGGCCCAGTGTCCCTCGAAGTTTGCAGGGTCCATGATCTGGGCAGAGGGCTACCACGGCCGCCAGAGGCCAAGGTCTCTGGGAGGCGCTGGCTGCGGGGGCGCGGGGGGCGCGGGCCTCGGGGTTGGCGAGGGCGGGCGGCCAGAGTTCGCCGCGAGCCCGCCGTCGGGGGTAGCCCCAGCCGCCCTCCGTCGCAAGTGCTCCAGCAGGCGCGCGCTCACGGCGGGCTCCAGGACGCGGCAGGCGGGCAGCACACCGGCCAGGCGCGCAAGGCAGGCGCTGTAACCCTCGCGGTAGCTGTCGGAGGGCGCTGCGGGAGGAGAGGGGCGTGAGGCTGGCGAGCGGGGCAGGGGCGGGCGCGCGGCAGGCCAAGCAGGGTCACTCACTGGGCGCCGCCGCCGAGCAGGGGGACGCAGGCAGCTCCTGCAGGAAGCGCACGGTCATATCCAGGATGTCCGCCTTCTCCAGCTTCGAGTAGCGGGAGCTCTGCGCCCAGCCACGAGCAAGGGAGACAGAGAGAGGAACAGACAAGACAGAGATCTCTGGCCGGCTGCCCGGGGCACTGCGCTCTGGCCAGGAGCTGCGTGCCCGGCGCGCCGTGGCCCGCGGTGGGTCCGCTCCTCAGCGCCGGCCCGGCCTGGGCGCCGTCTTAGGCGTCGCGAGGATCCCCTCGCTGGTCCCTCGGGTAGGGGAGCCCGGCTCACCCTCCCTACTCGGCGCCCAGCCCGCCCCGCCGCCTGGTGAGCTGAGCCCCGGACGCCCGGCACTCACCTCTCTGCCCAGCAGCGGCAGAATGAGCCCCTTGAGCTGGCTCAGGCTCTCGTTGATGCGCGCGCGGCGGCGCTTCTCCAGCAGCGGCTTCAGGCTCTGCGAACAGAGCAGAGGCCGCGGTTACGCGGTCCCGGGTCCCGGCCGGGCCCCTGGCCGCCCAGGCTCTCAGCCCCCGCTCCTACCTTGCGCAGCTCCGCCGCGTCCCTGGCCCTTCCGGGCAGCCCCATGTACAGCAAGAGAGCGGCGGCCGCCGGACCTCCGCGGTAGAGACTCGCGGTGGAGACCTACGTGGAGACCGACGCGGCGCACGACCCGAGGCCGTGGGAAAGCTCCGGAGCCGGACTGGAGGAGTGGGCGCCGCGCCGCCGCAGCCCGGCTTTAAGCAGGTGGCTCCCGCCCGCCGCGCCCCGCCCAGCAGCTCTACACTGTCCGGCCGCCGCCCCCTCCCGCTTTGTCACTGCGCAGGGCAGGTCGCGAGGGGAGGCGCCCCCAGGATCCGCTCCCGGCCTTCCAGTCCCATCTACAGCCGTGTCGGGGGCGCGAGCTCCAAGAGCCTGCCCAGCACCCGCGGGGGAGTGTGGGCGCCGTCGGAGGGCCCCGAGGCCCGGCTTCGGCAGCCCTGTGCCGGCTCGGTCCCCTGTCCTGACCTAGGTCAGGGCTCAGAGGAGGCGCTGAACTGGAATGTGGGAACTGAACGAAGAAAGGAGGCCTGTCCTCCCACCCAAGAGCTGGTGCGCTTCTCAAAGGCAGGGGGCCGGCGTAGAGGGGCCGCAGCCTGAGCCAGGCGAGACCTGGCCTCTCCTCCTGCCGCTCCCACCCGGAACGGTAAGGCGCGGGGCTGAGGAACTAGCCCCGCAGTGCCTGCGAGCCACAAGCTGCTCCGCGGACTGAGTGCTGAGCTGGACGGGGAAACCGAGGCCTGGGGAGACATTGCGACCTACTCGGCCTCTCGCCGCTGCGGACTGGACAGATAAGACCCAGGTACCTGGACTCCTTGTCCAGGACTCTAAGGACTCCACAGAACCCTCCGGCGGCTCACTGAGTAAGGGATCACCTGGCTCCTTCGAACCCGGTTTTGAATGGGGAAACGGAGGCCCAGATTAGGAGAGACAACGCAGGAGCCCCAACTCTGTTAACCCTCCGAGGTCATTTGCGTTTCAATCAGCTCCAGCTTCGGGTTCCACCCGCGGGACCTTCGGGGCTCACGTGACAGGGCGGGCGGGTGCTGGGCTCTGACTCTGGCTCCCCGCCCGGCCCCGGCCCCGCCCCCCACCCCGGCCCGCCTTCGCGCAGCTTGGCCGTTGTTGCAGAAAACAGGCTGCGAGTCCCCCGCCCATCTGCTCCCCTCCCCCGACCCGGCTGCCGGGGCAACCGCCAGACCGGTGAAGGGCACTGCGGAATGCAATACAGACCCACGGACAGACTGCCGGCCAGACCCACGGTCCGCCGGGCGGCGAAGAGGCGCGGCCTGGCGGAGACAAGTCTAGCGCTGTCCAGGGTGCTTGAACACCCTCCCCTTCTCTCCTCTCCCCCTCCCCCACTGCTGCCGCCCAAACCCGGTCTTGTTGCCCCCCTCCATGCCGCAAGGCTCGACCCTGCTGCCGCTCACTCCCCTAGCTGGACCCAAGGAGACCAGCGTGCCTACCAGGAAGGGGGCATGCAGCAGTCTGGGCCAGGGGAAGCTCAGGCCACACACTGCTCCCTGTCATATGCAAAGGATCTACTTAAAAAAGCCATCCAGTCGATTCTGACTTATGGTGATCCCATGTGTGTCAGAGTAAAACTGAGTTCCGTAGGGTTTTCAATGGCTGTTGGTTTGCTATAGGCTGCTAACCAAAAGGTTGGCTGTTCGAATCTACCCTGTGGCTCCACAGAAGAAAGGCCTGGCCATCTGTTTCTGTAAAGATTACAGCCAAAAAAA